GCCGAGTTTTGCCTCGGTAGCTCACTCTCAGTCGAGACTTGACACGAGAAGCATCTCTGAGTTGGTCTTCACACTTGTATTATAGTGTTTGAATCGAATAACCTCTCATTGTCCGCTCCTTTAGTGACTAGTAGTCGCTACCAATTTTTAAATACACACAGGGGAAACTTCCCCACCAGTAGTTAGAAAGTAGTAGTAGTACTGAGTATCAGCGACCCTTCGGGGTACATTAAGGCTGTTCCCCTCAGCTTGTGGTACGGCCTGGTCTGCCATTCCACAAAATAGGGAAAAAAGAATTCGTAACAAGTTCCCCTTTACTTATTAATTAAGGGGAACCCTACACCTATCGTTCCACAACGCGAGCCGAACCCGACATCCGCAGAAACAGCCGCGGCCGTGCAGAAACGCTTCCTGCACGCATACAGCGTGTCCTGGGGATCCTTAGGGATACCCCCAACCACGTCACCATCTCCAAACGGGTCCGAAACTACCGCGTTCGTGGACATGGCGCCCAGTACGTGAGGCTCGAGTTACCGATATCCAGGTTACTTACACAGGCAAGGGAGCCTGTGCGATCCCAGCGAAGCACCTTCGAGCATCTTCGACCACTACCAGGCCAAGTCCAGGTCCACTAGGCATCCACCAGGTCCAATCCAGGTCCACCAGGTCCAGTACGTCCACGCTAGGCCTACTCCAGGTCTACTACGTCCATCCTAGTCCACAAGGGTCCACCAAGCCTCCACCAGGCGTACTCCAGGTCCAACAGGTCCGCACCAGGTCCGCTCCAGATCCTCCAGGCCCATACGAGGTCCGCTCCAGGTCCACCAGGTCCACCCTAGGTCTGATGACCATTTTTGAAAAAAAAAACAAAAAAAAAAATTTTTGGAAAACTATCCAACAAAAAAATTTTTTGGAAAACCAACAAAAAAAAATTTTTTAAACCATCTGACATGGAGCCATAACCGTACCTACCTGATACCCCACCACAAGTGCCTTTGAGGCCTTCCCTGCTGGACAGCCAGGTGTCCTTCCATAATTACCAGCATCAAGGACCACCGTCCCAACCTGGACCTCCTACACCGCAGAGCTCTACGCCAAGCACCGTCGAGCTTGTGCAGGCTTTGACCCTAGCCAATCAAGCTCAACCGAATACCAGTACCCGTCCGGCCCCAAGCCAACCTGCTGCAGGTCCGAGCCAGACCTCAGCCAGGGCTCCAGCCCAGCCACCGAGGCAGTGAGCCTCCCAGATCCAGGTCCGATTGTCGAATCGCCTCTCTCGGCAATCGAACCAAACCCCTTCGACAACATGGATGTCGAAGCCCTTGTCGGCGACCTCAATAACCTTACCACTGAGGTCGTCCCAGCTAATGTCGAATTGCCACGTCTGACCGTCTACCTGGAAGGTCAGAAATGCACCGCCCAGCACCACCGGGCAATCCAGTCAATGATGACGTCTCCTCGGACGAGGAAGACGAGATGCCACCACCGGAAGCCGCAGAAGCCGAGGACCAAGGTCTGGATGACCTACACCCCGGCCGGCCAATAGAGCCAGCGGCACCCCAAGTCGGGGCCCAGGACCAGGACGGTCCACACCTCGACCGGCCAACAGAGCCAGCCACCACCCGCTAATAAAACCAACCAGCCAACCGGGACAGCAACCTACGGACCATGGACGGGTCCAACGTCTGGACGACGACCGCCCTCCATGTCCACTGAGAGCCTACCCTGAGGCGACACCAGGCCCTAGCCATGCTAGGACACATGCAAACCCCCGAGCCAGCCACCACCCGCTAATAAAACCAACCAGCCAACCGGGACGGCAACCTACGGACCATGGACGGGTCCAACGTCTGGACGACGACCGCCCTCCATGTCCACTGATAGCCTACCCTGAGGCGACACCAGGCCCTAGCCATGCTAGGCCACATGCAAACCCCCGAGCCAGCCACCACCCGCTAATAAAACCAACCAGCCAACCAGGACGGCAACCTACGGACCATGGACGGGTCCAACGTCTGGACGACGACCGCCCTCCATGTCCACTGATAGCCTACCCTGAGGCGACACCAGGCCCTAGCCATGCTAGGCCACATGCAAACCCCCGAGCCAGCCACCACCCGCTAATAAAACCAACCAGCCAACCAGGACGGCAACCTACGGACCATGGACGGGTCCAACGTCTGGACGACGACCGCCCTCCATGTCCACTGATAGCCTACCCTGAGGCGACACCAGGCCCTAGCCATGCTAGGCCACATGCAAACCCCCGAGCCAGCCACCACCCGCTAATAAAACCAACCAGCCAACCAGGACGGCAACCTACGGACCATGGACGGGTCCAACGTCTGGACGACGACCGCCCTCCATGTCCACTGATAGCCTACCCTGAGGCGACACCAGGCCCTAGCCATGCTAGGCCACATGCAGAGACCAAACCCCCGAACCAGCCATCACCCGCTGTAGGCGGTCCAACCAAGCGACCGACCCAGCATTTTCCCGGACACCTTGATATAAGGCGCAAGCGACGTCCAGTGAGGATGGTCGCTATTTCTCCGCCGCCCACCAAGAGGACTCAGCAGCCACGTCCCCACGAGAGGCCAGGGACGTCGGCCAACCCCCAGTAGAGCCAACCAGCCGCCAGCCGGACTACCGGAGCAGCCAGCGTTGGACAGCCCCCCCCGTGCCAAAGACACTCTAACATAATTAACCTATTTTTTAGTTCCAATTATTTCATATATATGTATACTGTATACTGTATTTTGACATGTATTCAACCATTTTTTCTTTATAGAATAAAAACAAAACACCAACACTCAGAGATGCTCTTCCGAAACCCCGGGGGTGTCACGGGACGCAAAGAAATCCAACATTGCGCCTCGTGATTTACTGCCAGGGGCCTTTTGGAACAGCAGGCTGCGGCGCACTCGACGTTCAGTCCTCAGTCCGACCGCTGTTCATTAAATAATCGCCGAGTTTTGCCTCGGTAGCTCACTCTCAGTCGAGACTTGACACGAGAAGCATCTCTGAGTTGGTCTTCACACTTGTATTATAGTGTTTGAATCGAATAACCTCTCATTGTCCGCTCCTTTAGTGACTAGTAGTCGCTACCAATTTTTAAATACACACAGGGGAAACTTCCCCACCAGTAGTTAGAAAGTAGTAGTAGTACTGAGTATCAGCGAACCTTCGGGGTACATTAAGGCTGTTCCCCTCAGCTTGTGGTACGACCTGGTCTGCCATTCCACAAAATAAGGAAAAAAGAATTCGTAACAAGCAACCGTGGCCGTGCAGAAACATTTTCTGCACGCATCCAGCGTGTCCTGGGGATCCTTAGGGATACCCCCAACCTCGTCACCATCTCCAAACGGGTCCGAAACTACTGCGTTCGTGGACACCACCCTGTATAACTAACGGTTTCCGATATCTCTGTAGCCTCCCTTTAAATAGTTCTAACTCTGTGTATATATATATATATATATAGACCAAAAATATATATATTGGGGATGTCGTCAAATGGTGGTTGAAAGAAAACTCCTTTTTAACTTAAACCAAGCTTTCGATAATTATTTATTATCTGTTTCAAGGTTAAAATGACTAAAATGTACAACAAAACATTAATATAATGAAATAATTACATAAAATGGGCACTTACTTCAGTTGAAAGAGTTACATCATAAAACTTAAAAGATAATATAAAATTTTTATTTTCATTGTTCTGAACAGCTGTCTAGTCTCGACTGATTAAATTTTAAACGTAAAATAAGTCTACTAAGTATTAATCTTATCACAGACAAAGGGAGAAAAAACTGGAATTTAATTTTTCTAACATTTAAAAATTATGAACAATTATAAATATACAATGTCAATTTTGTTTAGATAATGACAACAAATATGAGTAATTCATAACTAAATTTTGTGTATCTCTTTTTTTATTTAACGCATCATTAATAAAGGCTGCTNGATACTACAGATAGCTCAATTTCAGCTTCCAGCCCAGACAAACCGCGTACTTCTCGTGTAGGTAGAATTATAAAACCTCCATTGAGATTGAATCTTTAAAAGCGGGGAGAAAATATTATGTTAGCTCAGTGGGCTGTGGTTCAGTGAAATGGGTTGGCAGCAATGGGTCGGTGGTTGTGTTGTGAACATTGAGTCAGTCACGCCACAGTCACACCGTCTAATTGTATTTCATGTTATCATTAAAATTAATGTTGTCGTATTCCACCCTTCGAGCGAGCTTCTGGATTTCAGAACACCCAGTATATTCATAGAAGTAGTCTTGTACCTACGAATATGCCGGAGACCGCTGAATTGGAAAGGTGGCGAAACAATCATATTCACCTACCTTTCCAATCCAAACCACAAACCCGCGGGCAAATCAAAAAAGCCTCCACGATATCATTTCAGACATCGAACTCGATACCGTCGGGGAGCAATTTCCGCGACTCTGCATCTCAATGCAGACGTCGCCCTATAACCCGACATCGATCCTCCTGGCGATAGCGCCTGGGTCTGCCATCCCGGCGCGCAGTGTCCACTGCCGCTACTCTCGCAACCTGCAGACGAACCCTGGGACGCTTCGAAGCGATATTTGGAAACCATCATTTGAATTTTTACCGAAATGGTCAAGGACGCTATCGCCAATAACTCCAAAAGTTATTAAGCGATCGGTGTCAAAATTTAATGCGGCACTCCTCAAGTAGCTGGCATTATCTCACAAAATTTTCGTCCGAGTCGGATGAGCCAAAACGCCGTTATACGGGGAAACGCGGATTTCACGTTTTCCGCGTTTTCAGCCGTTCCGCTCATTCGATCTCGGCCGAACCCTCCAACCACACTAGAGTATCCCTAGGTGGTTGTCATATCTAAATTCGAGCCGAATCGCGCGACTACTAACGGCCAGCTAAGCCATAATAGGTTTTCACGTCTTCATAGCTGCCGCCGAAGGTGTCCGCGCGATCTCGACCGAACCCTCCAACCACGGCACTACTTCATGCCGTGCATCATCAGTCCACTGCTGAACAAAATCCATCTAGTAATAAGACCTCCGTAAGCCCTTTTACAAAGACGGGGAAAATTTCACCGATGTTTCCAATTTCCCCGTCTTTGGGCCGAAAGGACCGTCTTCCGAAGGTCCCACCGCTCTGGCGGTTGGATGCGATGCTCGGTAGCCTAAGCCGAGACCGCGGGTAGAGTTTTTCCCAAACCGGGAAAAAACTCCAAAATCCCCGACGCCGACATCGACTATCCGGAGAGGCCTAAGGGGACGAGTCCAGACGTCGACAGCGACGACGAGCGCTTTTTGCTGGAAATTTTGGCGGACAATTCAAGCCCGGTCCGCCAAAAGTATGGAGATCTCAAGAAAGCGAACGAACGTCAACTTCCGGCGTTTGCAGGATTACAGTGGGAGTGCATGGTACAAGAAAGCGATACAGAGCGATTGTGTAACAAATCTTATTCATGGTAAATAACTTATATATGTTAATTGTGAATCTTTATTGTTTGTTAATTCTGTTCAATATATACTTTTAACATATCTTCCACGGTTTGATTGAAAAAACCCTGTCATCAAGCTCAAGAACTTTGGAGCTCAAGCTCACAGGCTCGCTTCACGAGGCTTCCGTCGAGGCTGCCATTCCTCGACGTGATATTAATAGTGCCTAGCAACCACTACTCGCTTCACGAGATATACCACCCGAGGTAGCCTAACCTGAGGTTAAGACCCTGTTCGATAGCCCCCTGCATCGAAACAGAGGTAAATTTCCAGAATCCATTTGAGACCCGCGATACCGTCCGAGACTGACCACCTCCGACGAAGATCCTGTGCGATAGCCATTCGCATCGACACAGCGATACTCCAGGCTCCTCCAGAGACCTGCGTACCGCCCGAGGTAGCCCAACCTGAGGCGAAGATCCTGTTCGATCGCCCCCTGCGACGAAACAGCGATACCTTCAGGCTCCTCCAGAGACCTGCATACCGTCCGAGACTTGCGACCCTCCGACGGAGACTTTGATTCCGATCGTGCCGGCTCCATCGAGAGACCCGCACCTCAGTACAGAGTACATACATAGGCTCCTACGAAACCTATCAATCAGACTCAATCGAGATCTGCAAATCCGAGGCAACTTTCCTCGTCAAACTTCTAGGCGGTCACTCGTCGAGGCAACCTTGAGTCCAACCACGGTTCGCGGTCCGGCCCCGATAGCGGCCTACCTCCGATATCGGGTGTTCCGGAAC